ACTTCATCCACTGAAGCGCTTCCAGCTTTTTCTGTGACTAATTGGAGATAAGAGTCTCATGGACTTCCTGCACAGGCTGGCTTTGAACCACAATCCTTACATCTCAGCCTTCTGAGTAGCTAGGATTACAGGCATGAGCCGCTAGTGCTGAGCCAAGAGACAGATTTTTATGCAGCAATGATTGATTCAAGGGCTATACTTTAAGCTAGAAAAAAACACTGTATGTATACACAAACTTATCTTCTTACAACAAGAATTGATGACCACAGTATAAGCAGCTTCAGAATTGAGGGAATTTACTCTCGAATAATGTAAGGAATGGAAAGAGATGGCACCGCAGGCTCAAGGTGACCTTACAAATTTCTACCTTCAGATTTCAGATAAAATGTGTAGTTAGGTCCCTGTAGAAGCTAAAAATCTATCGTCAGACACTCTGAGGTTACATCTCATGTAAAGGCTCTAACAGATAATGCCTGTCCCCCTAGTGTCCTATAGCACAATCGTGTTCCTGATCATTCTATGCATTAAATATTCAAGGAGGAGAAGTGGTTTTTTCAAGGCAGGAAAGTTCACCAGACTCCTTTCTCAACCTAGAGCAGAGGCACACACCTGTCATCCCAAGGTAGTTGGGAGGTTTGGATTGTGAGGATTATAATACCAGGCAGTAATCATTTCTATGCATTAAAGACTCAAAGGAGGAGAAGTGACTTTTGGTCTTGTTTAAGCTCTCTACACTACTTGGGAGGCTGAGAATAGGAGGACCACAATTCAAGGCAGGAAAGTTCACCGGACTCCTTTCTCAACCTATAGCAGTGGCACACACCTGTCATCCCAAGGTAGTTGGGAGGTTTGGATTGTGCGGATTGTAATACCAGGCAGGTAGGCTGAAAAGTCTGGAGACTTCATTGACACAAGAGGAACAACTGATGCAGCAGTGCTAATGATCCTAGCAAGTATGGAAAGCCTAAAAGTGGGCAGATGGTAGTCCAGGCATGCCCCTGAGCAGAAAATGAGACCATATCCTAAAAATAACTAGTGAAAATTAGGGTTGGAGGCATGGCTCAGTAATACTGCATCAGCCTAGCAGGCATGAGGTACTGAGTTCAAATATTAGTATTGCACACACAAAATAAAGCCGCACACATACTAGGCTGGTTCTGCAGGCATTTTGTCTTTGTTACTGTTGTTATTTGGGGGTTTTGTTTGTCTTTTCAAGGGAATTCTGTTGAATACATAAGAAAGATCTAATACTATATCTAAATGTTACCTGTAATCTCCGTGGGAAAATAAATCTAGAGTCCTAAATTAACTGACTGCTTTTGGATTACAGGATACAAAAATAATTTAAAATTTCTTCTTTCTTTCTCTCAGCAAAAAAAAAAAAAAAAAAATCATTTTAATTCTGGAACTTCAATATGCCTGAAATCCACAAGTACTACCAAAAATAGAATAGATAAAATGATTTTTACTTTGCTTATGTTAGCAATGACAGGTATATAAATTTACTTAGCAATTTTTCACCTTAAACATATGTTAAAACTTTTATCTTCGCCCACGTGCTTTCATTTTTAAAGAAACACATTTAAAGGAGAGCAATCTTTCTATGCCTAAAAAAAAGCTGTAATTTCTGCTGGGTGCTGGTGGCTCATGCCTGTAATCCTAGCTACTCAGGAGGCTGAGATCTGAGGATCACAGTTCAAAGCCAGCCCGGGCAGGAAAGTCTGTGAGACTCTTATCTCCAATAAACCTAACTAGAAAACCAGAAGTGGCGCTGTGGCTCAAGCGGTAGAGCGCCCGCCTTAAGCTGAAGAGTACAGGGACAGCGCCTAGACGCAGAGTTCAAGCCATGACCGACAAAAAAATAATAATAATAATTTCTAAAACTAGTGGATTGTAGGTAACAATTACTAGGAGAGAGAGAGAGAGAGAGGAGGGGGAGGGGAGGGGGAGAGAGGGGGGGGATGTCTTCCAAAGTATTTTGAAGCCCACATTCTCATCTAAAGGAGTATGTTACAGTGTAGGGTCTGATGTCGATTAGGCAGACCTTCTAAAAAAATTTTTTTTTTGGTGGCCTGTGTTTACAGCCCAGGAATAGAAAGGTCAGTTCTCTGGGTTCTCAGAGAAGACTTAGGTCTTGGGAATTAAACTGTCAGTGGCCAGATGAGCTGATCTGGTAAACTTTCCTACGTGTATTTCTTTTCTTTTTTCTCTTTTTGGTCAGTCATGGAGCTGTCCCTGAGCCTCTTTGCCCTCAAGGCTAGCGCTCTACCACTTTGAGCCTCAGCACCACTGCCCATTTTTTGAGTAGTTTATTGGAGATAAGCATTTCCTGGGGACTTTTCTGCTCAGGTTGGTTCTGAGCTTCCATCCTCAGATTTCAGCCTTCTGAGTAGCTAGGATTACAGGCATGAGACTGGCTTTTCTTTCCTTCTTTTTTTTAGGTAGGCGGTCCACACTGGAACTTGGTACTTAACTGAACCATGCTTCCAAATCCCTTTCTACATGTAGTTAGGAGAAATTGACACATCATAGAAAAGTATATAGTATGGGGGTGGGTGGGGTGCAAGCGCTCGTGCGCGCCAGTCCTGGGGCTTGAACTCATGGAAAAGCTGCTTTCCCTTAGCTTTTTGGCTCAAGGCTGGTGCTTGCTTCGGCAGCACATAGACTAAAATTGGCTCAAGGCTGGCATTCTATCACTTCAGCCCCAGCTCCACTTCTGGCTTTTGGTGGTTAATTGGAGATAAGCATCTTTCAAAGAGGCTTTAAACCTTGAAGCTCAGATCTCAGCCTCCAGTAGCTAGGATAACAGGCCAGAGCCACTGGCACCAGGCTAGTATGCTACCTTTTACATTATAAAAGGACTAATAGAAATTCACATTACTATTTCCTTGTCGTGTACAAAGGAATTGGGAAAGAGATCAGTGGAACACTGATGAACAGGCTGAGAGGGAATGGTAAAAGGCAGAATCTGGGCTGGTTCCTCAAATCAGAAAAAAAAAAAAAAAAGCAACACAACAATGTTATACTTGACAAGTAAACTTTTCTTTTTCAAGCTGAAGTGTTATCAACCTGGGGTGCTGCTTTGTTTTCAATTCCACGGTGGCCACAACACAGACTGTTTTATATTCCAAATCAGGTTCCGGCTCTTGCCTTCCCTATGTAGATTCGTATGTCATGTTGATGGGTTTCTCCAGGCTCCCTGAGAGCATGGAACTCTCCCCACCCTCCTAATCCATCGAATTGATTGCTAAGGATACTTGGAAGCTTTTATAAAGCTTACGAAAAGCCAGGATCTTGTTGTGGTCCTTGTCTGGTTTGAAACATGGAACTGAGCACAGATACCCAGAAGGTGGTCGGTAAGGATTTGTTCCATTAGTGGATTCTTTCCTTCACTGGCTCCCTACCATATGAGAGCAGGGATACCGGTGGGCTGGTGTATTTGGCATTCTACCCACAAGCCAACAATTCTACCTACTTGGAAGGCTAAGATCTAAGGATCACCATTTGAAGTCAGCCAGGGAGGACAAATCTTTGAGACTCTAATTGCCAATTAACCAGCCGGAAGTAGAGGTATGGCTCATGTGATAGAGCACCCTCCTTGAGAGAAAAAAGCTGAGGGACAGTGCCTAGGCCCCAAGTTCAATCCCCCAAAATCAATACCCAAAAAGAAAAAAAAAAAAGAAAGAAAGAAAGAAAGAAATTCTTGGCATTCTTGGTATCAGCAATACAGGCAATCCAGTTCCAGCAGCCATTTCTAAATTTATCTTCAACTTTCACAGAAGACAAAGCAGCCAACAAGATGCTATGTGGAGCAATAGAACTCAACTATTCATAAAATTTTAGTGTTTAATTAACTTGAGATTAAAGCTAACTAATCTTTGCAAGCAAACACCGCACTTACTAGTAACAATGAAAAACAATCATAGGCTCAAATGAAGTCTGGTTTTATTTAAGGTTCTCAGAGCTACAGTGAGCAAACCTCTTTCACCTTGGATTAGACAATTATAACAACAGAATAACTGTACTACTACAAACTTGGGGGAAGTGCTAAGCACGGATGACTGATGTACCTCCTAAAGATTTTCCAGGCTACAAACCTTCTGCAGGCTCCACTGAGGTATTTAATGAACAGTAGCACGGAGAGCTGGAAGTTTGGCTGTCTCCCCCGCCAAGCCCCCCACACATACATACACATCCCTTTCTTCTTTCCTCCTTTCTTTTCTCCCCCCCTCTTCCTTTTCCTTTTTTCCTTTCTTTTCCTTTTCTCCTTCCTTCATCCATCATTCCTGGTCTCCCTCGCTTCCTCCCTTCCTTCCTTTCATGCCAGTCCTGGAGCTTAAACTCTGATTCTGAGTGGTTTTTCCCGGGCTGAGGCTTTCCTTTCCCGGGCTGGCTTTGAACCCTGATCATTAGATCTCAGCTTCCTGAATTGCTACAATTACAGATGTGAGCCACCTGTGCCCAGCCTGTGAGCCACCTGTGCCCAGCCTCTCATCTGTATTTCTTTTCCTGTCATTTAAAAAAACAGAAACTCATCCGGGTGCCGGTAGCTCACGCCTGTAATCCTAGCTACTCAGGAGACTGAGATCTGAGGATCGCGGTTCAAAGCCAGCCTGGGCAGGAAAGTCTGAGACTCTTGTCTCCAGTTAACCACCAGAAAAACCACAAGTGGTGCTGTGGCTCAAGTGGTAGAGCATTTGGCTTGAGCTGAAGAGCTGAGGGACAGTACCAAGGCCCAGAGTTCAAGCCCCATGACTGACAACAACAATGACAACAAAACAACCCAGAAACTCAGTGAGTGAGGATACACTTCCCTGAGAGCTGAGCTACATAGCTGAGATTCTTCTGAGGCTAAAATAAAAGTTCTGAATGAAGGCATTTACTTGGGCCACGCCCTCCCTGGGAAGGAAAGGCAGCAGAAGCCGCTGGAGACAGGGACAGTCAATGTGGGTGGATGCAAGGTGTCCTCATCATCCAGGCATCAGAAACCCCCAGCCTACCTTTGCAGATGCAGCCCAGTGAAACCCACGTTGGTCCTTACAGGAGGAGCTGGCTCTCCCAGGTCCTGCAGATTGTCTCTCAGGAGAGTGGTACAGGTCTAGGAAAGACAACACTATGGTTAGAATGATGTTTGGCAAGCCAAATGAGTGTGAGGCTTTGAGTTCAAACCCCAGTACTACCAAAAAATAAAGTGGCTTAACAAGGATCACACCTGTAATCTCAGCTAATTAAGAGGCAAAGTCAGGATATCCTTAAGTTTGAGGCCAGCCTAGGTGAAGTCTGTGAGGTCCTGTAGGAAACTCAAGCGTTTTTCCACTTCTTGCAATAAGCTCTGGAGTAGGAATCCAAAGCAGTAGGACCCACAAATGCATATGGACACACAAACACAGCTCTGATGAGCTGGTTCTTTTGAGGAACACAGTTACCCAGAATCCCTCAGTCTATCCTCCTTTGCATATCTCCCCTAGCCATGCTTGTGATGGCTCAAGTCAGAAGAGAAGACAGTGCCAGGTTTGTGGAAGAAATTCTCTCACATCCGGAGATGGCGCAAACACAGCCACTGAAAACCACTAAGTAACTCAACGCATTGAAAAGAATCTGTTAAGTTTAATGGACTTGAAAGCCATTATCTGGCAGAACAGCCACAGTGATCTCTGGGGATTAAACAACTTGGAAGAATATTCCTGTTTGTCATCATCACCTTGGGCTCTGAGCTGTTGTGGGATAATACACTTTGTTGCAAACTGGCTATGAGATGGATTTCCTTTACAGGATTGGTTTATAGAGAGCAAACTTTAGCTAATAAAGGTCTTGGTTCCTTCAGACATTTCTATATGTCCATGGACACCGTGACGAAGCTCTACTTCCATGACTCTAGATCTAGAGTTCTGTAAGTAAATCCTGTCCCAAAGATCTGCCAACTTTCCCTCTTCACCTAGCCAGTAGGTTAAACAGTATAGAGTGATTAAACCAGGAAAATTCCATTTCCACCACCTCAAACCTTTATTCCTACTTGGGCTTCTTCAGTGCCTCAATTATAGAGAGGCACACAGTTAGTTGTTGATTATAAAAATAGTGTCTACTTCAATCTGTTAACTACTATCATCCTGCCCTTATTTACAGGTTTATAATACTTGCAAATTTTGACCAAGGGTGGACAAAAAAATTTAAAGTAAAAAAATTAAACTTCTTAGCAAGATGTCAGTGGCTCACACCTCTAATCTAGCTGCTCAGGAGGCTGAGATCCCAGGAGGATTAGTGTTCAAAGCTAGCTTGGGCAGCTAGCCAGACATGGAGCCATGGCTCCAGTGGTAGAGCACTAGCCTTGAAAAAAAACAGCTAAGGGACAGCATGTAGGCCCTGAGTTCAAGCCCAACACCCAAAATTAAATTCCCATGTGCCCAATATGCGGTTCAGCCTTGCCTTATGGTCAGCTATTGAAATTGTACAATCTACTCTTTCCCTGCCTTTGATATTGTGGAAATCCAACTCTTGAGTTGCATATGCTACCTCAAAAGAAAAATAACAGTTAACGTTTAATTGAAGCACTAAAGTGAAAATTTGACATTTGTTGTAAGGCAGCATATCTCTACTGGAAGTTGGGTAGCATTGTGGGAAGAATGAATTGAGCATCTCCAGGACAGTGCCGAACTCTGTGTATATGAGCATATGCACAGTTTTTCCTCTGATGAGGTCTCTTTAGAAACCATACACCCATGGATACCAGACTACTATAGAGCAATGTATTCTCATCTTTTTTCCCCTTTTTTTTGTGCTACTACTAGGTCTTGAATTTAGGACCTGGTCACTATCCACCTTAGCCTTCTTGCTCAAGGATGGCACTCTAATATTTGAGTTACACCTCTACTTTTGGCTTTTTGGTGGTTAATTGGAGGGAAGAGTCTCACGGACTTTCCTGTCAGGGCTGGCATCAAACCATGATCCTCATATCTCAGTCTCCTAAGATTATAGGTGTGATCAACCAGTGCCTGGATTCATTCTGATTTATTTTTTATTTTTTTATTAGAAAGGCCTGGGAATGAGAGAGAGCTGGGAAAGAGAGGAAAGAGCTAGAAAAGAGCAGAGAGAGGGGTAAGAACAGTAGCACTCACGTGGTATTCAGGTAAGGGGTAGGTTTATTCAGTAGGCCTGCTGGGACCAGGCAAGGTTGGCACTCCACGCGGCTGGGAAAGACAGAGGAAAGAGCTAGAGCAGAGAGAGAGCAGACAGAGCTAGAAAAGAAGAGCAAGAGCTAGAGAGCTAGAAAAGAAGAGCAAGAGCAAGAGAGCTAGAAAAGAAGAGCAAGAGAGCTAGAAAAGAAGAGCAAGAGAGCCATTCTGATTTTTAATACATGTGGGGTACTGCTAAAGAAAATGGCAATCGGCTAATCCACTCACAGATCACTAGGCAATTCGTAATTGCAAATTGGACAGTATTTAAAACTAAGCCCTGCACATTCTTGGAACCAACATCACTTCCAAGCCAAAGCATGAGGCCCTGAATTCAATCCTCAGCACTGGAACCAAAAATGAGCGAGTTGCTACTGTAATAAGAAATGAAAAGATGAAATTAAAACTCCCAAAATAAATACCCAAATATCTACTACCATATTAAGTTTAGGAAAAAAATGTTTATCACAACAAACACATAGTTTGTTTAATTCACTAAGGATTTAAAACAGCAAACCTCATTTTCTTGGTGGTAACTATGTGTGTGAAGTGTGGTTGAGGTTGGTAAGCAAAATATTCGGTCCTGAGATCTTAAAAGTTCTCCTTTTCACAAGATGTTATTTGTGGTACTGTACTACCAAGAAGCAAAGAAGGGAGCCTTGAAGATTAAATATAACATAATCATACAGTCCATAAAAGTAAAACGTACATGTTTACTTGTAATGACTACTCTTACATGAATAAATACTGTCTTTGAAAATAGAAATAAGACTCAAACATGAAACAAGAAACAATTTCTTTAAAAAAGTCAAATAGAAGCAAAATGTAGCCAGAGGCAGAGGGTATTAGCAAGATTAGCAAGAAACTGCCAGAGGGGACAATAGTTGTGGGACAGAGAGTCTCCTTGGTGTATCTAATAATATGATACTCACAAGACGTATGGCGTATGCACCTGAGAACTTACCAAAAGGACATGTACCAGAGTAACTAACTGTCCAAGAGGGCAGCCTATTTGACTATACCAGATTCATTGTGTGAGTGTCTGGGCAAAGTGACAGTAATTATTTGGTTAATAATCCATTTCTTCTGTATCTGTCTCTCTCTCTCTCCATCTCTCCCACTCTTAGTGCCTGTGTGTGTGTGTGTGTGTGTGTGTTCCTCCATCTCCCTTTCCTTGGGCTCTGTCTCTCCTCCTCCTTTTGTTGTCCTCCTTACTAAAGAGTTGTAAAACCAGGAGCCAGTGGCTCATACCTGACGCAGGAGGCTAAGATCTGAGGATGGCAATTCAAAGTCAGTTGGGGCAGGAAAAGTCTGTGAGACTCTTATCTCCAATAAAAACCTCAGAAAGGGGCTGGGAAGGTGGCTCAGTGGTAGAGCGCTTGCCTTGCATGCCTGAGGCCCTGGGTTCGATTCCTCAGCACCACATAAGCAAAAAAGAAAAAAAAGCCAGAAGTGGCACTATGGCTCAAGTGGTAGAGCGCTAGCCTTGAGGCCCAGAGTTCAGGTCCCACGACCGGACCCCCCCCCCCCCAAAAACAAAACAAAACAAAAAAAAACCTCAGAAAATGGAAGTGGAGCCATGGCTCAAAGGGGTACAGCACTAGCCTTGAGTAAAAGAGCTCAGGAACAACACCCAGGCCCTGAGTTCAAGCCCCACAAGGAAAAAAAAGAAGAGTTGTAAGAAATTGTCTATTCTAGCCTCCTCATTAGTCACCAGTTTTCTTACCCTGTGTAAATTTAAAAAAAAATAAAAGGTAAGTGCTGGGGGGAAGAGAAACTTTCTACCTTTGTGGACTGTATGTGGGAGTTAAAATTAGTAAAGCCCTTATGAAAAACACTATGGGGGTTCTTTAATTATAATCAACATATAAAAGCCACAGAGAGACAAATACCATATGATCTTACTTATACATGGAATCTAAAAGCATCAAATATACAGAAGCAGAGAGTAGAAAAGTGTTTTCCAGGGGCCTGGGGAAATATAGACCAAGCAGTTCAGTTAGACAAGATGAATGATTCCTAGAGATCTATTGTATGCCCGTGATCATAGTCAGTAATACTGTATTATTGCTAAAAGAATAGACTACAAATGTTCTTACTATGGGAAGATGATAAGTATGCAAGATGATGGATTTGATAATTAACTTCATTTAATCTTCTTACAGTGAATACTTTATCTAAAAGTCATTGTACATTGCAAATAAATACTTTTACTTGTCCAAAAAAAAAAAAAAGCCAGACACTGACTGTTCATGCCTATAATGTTAGCTACACAGGAGGTTGAGCTGAGGATTGAGGTTCAAAGCCAGCCTCACAGACAAATCAAGATACCAGACTGGAAGCATGGCCCAAGTGGTAGAGCATCAGTCATGAGCCGATGAGAAATTTAATGAAGAGTGTGAGGCCCTGCATTCAAAGCCTAGTACTGGAGCCCCTGCGCGCACGCCCCCCCCCCCCCACATACACACACAACCTCTGTTAGAAAGAGTTTAGCTGGTTTACTAAGATGTGCCATACCCAACTCAGACATCTACACCCTGCAAGTTATCAACATTTCTTTGAAAGAACCCCAGAGCAAATTGCATATTAGCATTTTTTATATAAACCCTTAGGACACACAGCCAACTCCGTCACATCTTACATCCTAGAGGAAGGATGATGAGTTGAGAGGAAAAAAAAATTAGCTCTCAGCACTCCAAAGAGTCATTAGGTGTCCCAATGAAAGAGACAACTCAAGTATCAGGAGTAACTGGAAAAGAGGAAGAAGAAAAAAAGGAAGTGAAACAAAGGACACAAATTCACTGGTACCGATTTTTGCAACTATATCTTGAAAAAGATAAAAGAAGATGAAGCAAAGGGGGAAAACAATGGAGGGGGTAACAATGTTCAAGAGGAAGTGTACTCATTACCTCACTCATGTAACTGTAAC